TGGCATAGCTCCTACTGAAGGCAAACTTGGTTTGGGATCCCAGCTTCCTGAGCACACACGGCTARCTGGGAAGGCAGCTAATGAGGGCAGGGTCCCCTTCTCTCATCACTTCTCTTGGTGACTGCATCACTCTTCCAGGGCAGAACCTCCTGCTGCCGCCCGAGGAACACAACGTTGCTCCAATTGTGTCCGAACCACATGGGAGCAGCACCTGGCCTGGAATACACTACGGGGACGATCCAAGCAGTCCAAGCAGGGGAGGCCTCCTGATGGCAATGTGTGGCCTGCGGGAGGCTGGGAGGCCTCCTGACCAAAACGTGCAGCCTGTGGAGGGATGCGAGGCCTCCTGACGGCGACGTGCGGCCTGTGGAGCAGGGCTGACACCGGGGCTCTCACCCCGAGGGAAGCCGCCCGGACAGCAAAATCTCGGGAGGCACCAGGCGGGTTCCCCATCACTGTGCCTGCCAGGAGCTACTGCGATGTAAAAGTGAAACGAGAGTGAATTCAGAACCGTTAATTAAAAATATTGCAAATGAAAATCTCTGGATGAAGTTAACGGGGGCTTGGAGGGGGTGGGTGACAATTACTGACATAAACTGAAGACAGACACTCTCATAACATAGCAAAATGCCACACTAGTGCAGTGAGATCCACAAGCAATTTGTGGACCTAATTGTTGTTTTAAATTCCTTAATATTCTTGCATACTCAAGCTGAAAAGGAAACATCCCTTCTAACAAATGATTTCACTTAAAGTCTCTCTCAAAAGGCATCTACATTCATGTATTTTTGTCATTAAGAAAGCGGGCACAGGAGAACAATTATTTATGGCTGAGCATTATGAGAAATATCTCTGAATTAAATTATTTTCAATAGTGAAAACTATTAGCACATGAATGGACTGACACTCTTCTATTAACAATACTGCCTCTCAAAGCACATTCTGCACGAGCTAAGAGATATGTGGAGTTCTGAGTACAGGCGCACAAACAGCCCAACGGGTACTGCAGAACATGCCGTTGTTTCTCTTCTGATGGTTAATTACACAGGGGCAAAACTGGGAAGACTCCTTTTATGGAGTCTTTATGAAACTCAGGAACAGCACACAGTTTTATGCCATTTGTGAATACAAAATAACACCAATAATCATGCACAAACGGCCAAATGGGATGAAGCTAAGGGYAGCCAGACTGGCACCGTGTCTTGGAGAGGCACAAAGACCAGGGACTTCAGACAAAGACCAGGGGCGTCAGAGGACCTTTCAGTGAAACACAGTTAGGRGGTGGTCATGGGTTTTGTTGGAATGGCTCGAAGACATTTAGGGTTGTAATTTGCCCGTGAACYGCTCTGTGCCTGATTTTGGAAGCCGAGCAGGGAGTGCTGAGCTGAAGCCCGTGGTGGTGGCGCCGCTTCTTGCGGCCCCGTCAAGCGGAGCTGCCGCCGGAAGGCCCTGAGTCCAGGTTCCGCTCGCGGCGACGGCTCCTTCCAACCGTGCTTGGTGACTCGGTGGGCTAGAACAGAGTCCTACCATTTCTGAACATGTCCAAGGTGCTCAAGCACTGCTGGTGTTCCAAACATTTCTGAAGCAATTTTTATCTTCACGTACCAGAGCTCTTTGCGTCTATACTTTTAAAGCATTTTCTTCCCCAAAATAGCTATTCAGAGCTTCTAGCATTTCACTTAGATCCCAAATTCMCTCCCCATAATGAAGAGAGAAGAAGCCACCAGTTGCACAAAAAGTCATAAAATGTAGATTTAAAATACAGGAATTAAATATGGTCTCTTTTTTTTGGGTGCATTTTCCACGTTACTACTCAGTAATTGTATGCTAATACTAAACCTGTACTTTCAGCAGCCTTGCTATGCCTCAGAGGATACCCGCCAGCTTGCAAACCTTAAAATACTGTGTTTTGCCCCAAAACTCCTTGTTTTGAGAACCACAACATCTGCATAAGATGCCCCTCTTGCTCCAAATGCCGTCTGTCCAGCTCCTTGGGCCCCCTGAGCCGTCCTCATACAGCAGAGGCTCCATGTGCAGCACTTGCCTTACTGCCCCGCAGCCGCTGCTCCCACTGTTGCAGTGTCTGTTTGACTGCACCAGGGACTGACTGTGAACCACTGGGCGCTTGTTCCCACTCACAGCATCCTACGCCACAACCACCAGCACGGCTAGGGGTGAAAAAAGGCACAAACGGCCTTGAAATACTTCAGTTACTGTGTTAGATGGCAGAGAGATGCGGGAGGTGCCAGACCAGCCCCCTTGCATGCCAGGTAGGAAAGAGGAGCTGTGTGTGGCCAACACCAGCCACGTGCAGCCAAGGCCTCGKCACGGGCACGGGCACAGGCCGGGGTTCAGTTCACCCATTGGCAGGGTGCAGTCAGAGGCAGGTACCACATCCACAGCGCAGAAATGTTTCCTGCAGTGCTGTCCTTCTGCTACCCTCATGCTACAGGCAGCCTTGGTGAGAGAAAGAAACCAAAMGCGAAGCCAGGAAGAACTGCCAGTTGTTTCTAGCTTCCTCACTCTTTCTGAGGGACTCCCTGGACCGTTGGCTTTAGCACCGCGTTCTTACAAGGTGATTTGCTTGCCTGATGTATCTCACTCAGCAACTAGAGTCTCCAAGCAGGCGATTTGGCTCAGACTGACTTTGGCTTTCTGCTCTTTTTGGGGAGCAGGGGCCTGAGTAAGGAAAGAGGAAAGGTAGAGGGAAGAGGCTTGAGGAAAGAGTTGATTAACTAAAAATTAGGGAGGAAGGGGCCAAGCTCTTCTCAATGGTGGCCAGTGACAGGACAAGGGGCAATGGGTACAAGTTGAAACACAGGCAATTCCATCTCCATGTGAGGAGGAACTTCCTCACTGTGAGCGTGCCAGAGCCCTGGCACAGGCTGCCCAGGGAGGYTGTGGAGTCTCCTTCTCTGGAGATCTTCCAAACCCGCCTGGATGCCGCCCTGTGCCCCGTGCTCTGGGTGTCCCTGCTGGAGCTGGACTAGATGATCTCTAGAGGTCCCTTCCAACCTCAACCATCCTGKGATTCTGTGAAATCGTGCAGTTTAGCTGATCCAGTTGAACTTCCTTTGATTCTTTTAATAAAACAAAGTTGTTTTATAGAGAAATCTTACCAAAATATATTGATTTTTGTTTCAGAACAATGATTAATGATACTTAGAGAAACAAGAACTTTTTTTTTTTAAAAAAAGGAATTAAATTTATGTTAGCCAAAATKTTTGACTTTCTCAGTTTTTACATATTGATGAGTAAATCACGTATCATTCCAGATCAATCTAAGCATTCCAATTTCATTACAATTTATATTTGAAAGGGCATGAACATGACAATCTGCCCAGGAGACAACTGTATTTTAAGAAGAGCAGAAATACTGAATAGCTGTGTCACCAGTTGYGGTTTTACTGGAAAGATTCAAATTCTATTATTAATCAAATCTATTTATTTTTGATACTTGAAGATTACAATGTTTTGAAAAAAAAATCATCAAAAATATTTTCCAGCATGAGCCATGAAACTTGTAATAATGACTAATTTGGGCACGTGGAAGGTCCAGAAGGGCCTGGGTTAGAACTAAAGGACACAAGTTTAGCTTCTTGCTAACCCTGTGCCCCTGTGCATCCATCTGATAGTATCAGTTGTCTTTAAGAAGCACCTGAGGTTAATATATAAAATCAATAACTGTTTTTCTAAACCACAGTTTCCCTCCTTGCCTACAAGACTGAGTGCAGACTAACGGGCAAATAAAATCTAGGAGTACCACCCTACGGAAACGTGGACAGCACCGGTACTTGGGATGTATCTACAGATCTTTCTGAAGGTGTAAAGGGAATAGTGGGTTGGAAAGGACTTTTCTGGGGAAAATCCAGAGGGGGATTTCTTCCTGGAGAACTGAGCTCCAGCACAACGGAAAGAGCCACGAACACAGATGAGGTCAACGCTACTGACGACGTGTCAGAGCTGGGCATCACTGCGACATGAGACAGGAGAAACATTTAGGTGTGCTGCCCTTTTTGTCTTCATTCAGTTAKTTTAGCCAGGACTAGGATAAGCTTATTGAAACACACTGGAAATATACAGCTCAGGCAAGTTCTGTCTGTATATTGTGAACAAAATAGTCCCTATGAAATGGTATCTGTAGCCTGCTTTGTTCCGCCTTTTCTCTCCGTACAAAACACCAGACCACTTCAGAAAATGCATCCAAAATGACAGGATTAGGTGTAGGCAATATTTAAACTCTACTGGATACACATGACACTGCACTACTGGATTATCAAAATGCATAACAGTAWGAGAAAAAGAAGGCCAAAGAAAATGCTCAATTGTAACCATATCTAAAGCATATGACAACCCGACAATCTGGCAGGAATTAACAGGTAAAAACTCCAAACTCTGACACGTCAGCCTACCAATCTGCACACTATAAGATTTTCAGCTGCTGTTTTGCCTTGGTTTTTTGGTACCCAGCAGCTTTTAACAGCAAACCAGCCCATTAATGGCAATATTAATTTCAGCTTTACGGAAGTGCTGTTTATGGATTTCCAAAGCCATCCCCAGTTCCCACCAGCATGCTACTGTTGCTGTGTCACTCCTGGGGTATTAAAATACCATCTCTGGACYTCTCCAGAGACGGTCCTGCCTGCGATGCCGATAGTCTGGTAGGCAGAGGGAAACCCACAGCATCGAACAGAAAAAAAATCTCCATTTGTAAGGCTTAGAAAAGTCATAAATATCAACACAAAGTGCAAGGAAAGCAGGACAAGAGAGAAGAGAGAGAATAAAATTAAGCACATGCAGAAAAAAACCCTTCCTTTCTAACTACATATACTTCAGTAAATTTCAACTTTGTTATTAGAAAATGGCAACATTTTTGAGATTTTTATAACAGATTTTGCATATTTTCTCCAAAATGTCTAACACTAATCCATGAGCATTAGTTGCCTAATGTTAGAAAAGCATTTTTATGAGCTAAGTGTGGCTAGGCATATTTTTCTTACCTGGCCAGTTTAACAAAGTTGACAGTCCTGAGCAGAACGTATTGTAAACGAAATCTGGAATAAGAAAAAGGGGGATGTTTAATTACAGTTTATTTTTATTATTATACTAATACAAATTAGTAACAATAAGTGGTTACTGCTATGTACAMGCTGTGAGTGGAAACAAATCGCTCTTAAAAATCTGCAAGGTCACTGGTTGTCCCCAGAAGTCCTGATGCTGTCAGGAATAAGTTTATAAAGAGTAGTACTAGAAACAACAAWATTACCCATGTTGTGCTAGTTGAAAGGGTATCTGTTATGTCAAGTTTGTGTCAATTTTTGTGTCATCCTTTTAGTCAAATACCACCATATGTCTATCATTATTTTCTTAGAGACATACTCAGATTTATAAMGTGTCTATCTGGTAAAAACATGTATTTCACATTAAATGGCCCTTGATGCACAGCTAATTTGCCTTCTGTAACATTTCACATAAACACAATGTAAAAAGAACATTATTGAGACTAAAATGTGGTTACTTTACATACTGGAAGATGCTAGGTGCTAGGCTGCCTGGGCAGCCTTCATGYCTTCAGTGAGCACTGAGTGTGATACAGCTGGGCAGGGTTAGTCACAGAGTGGTCTGCAGTGGCAACTCCTTTTCATGTGCTCTACGAATGGACATGCAAGCTTCAAGAACTGACTTAAATATATATATACACATATATATATATTACTTAATGTGTGGAGTGGAGGAACGCTCATGGAATCATATTCAGATCCTGATACAAAAGCTGCATCGTTTTGCCATGCTGCAAGCAATCTAATCACTGCGGTCTTGGACTGCCTCAGAAACACTGTGCAGTTCAAGTTCAGCAAATTCTTTTGGAGGAAAAACATTGCCCTCATTTTACAGATGAGTTACTTGGTGCTAAGAGATTAAGCTGAAAATTGAATACACTAATTTGAGTCACACGGGCCTCGTTTTTCAGAGGCCTGAGCCCCGCCTCAGTACTCTCTGCATTCAAGGCACCACTCGCAACGATTTCAGCTGCAGACACGAGCACCAACCGCTTCTGCAAATGGTAGGGGGGAACTGGAAGTACAAGAAATGGGAACATGCCATTGGCGACCACCTCGGTAAGCTCTGCTTAGGCCAAGCGCCTCCTCCTCCCTGCTCGCTGCCTCTGTGTGAGCTGGGGGTAAAGCTGAGCGCTGCGGGTGGCTCCGCGGGCACCGCGCGGCGCTCCATCGCACGGCTCCCGTTTCTGGTCCTGGGAAGCTCCCAGCTGCCGCTCACCTCCCGCTTCCCGGCTGCCTGCAGAGCAGCCTCTCCTGCAGCACGGAGCCCCGCGCAGCCGGGAGCAGGGCGGCTGTTCCCGGCTCCATCGCGGGCCCTGGACAGGCTGGGGGCACGGGGCAGTGCGGGACCCCCGCAGCGCGCTGGCACAGGAGGGGGCTGCCTTGTTGGGCTCTACCACCCAGCCACTTAAACAGTGTTTGCACACAGGGTTTCCTGGCAAGAAAAGGTCTGGTTGGGGTGGAAGAGGAAAATAACCTGCCAAATGAATCCTGTTATCAGGCATGGTAGTGTTCAACCATGACAACCCACTCCTTGAGGCCAGGGAACAACAGTCTGCATCCTTCGTGGAAACCAGCATCACAGAAGGGTCATTTGCTAGTGGATCACCAAATATTTGTTGACCACAAGGCAGCTGCGAGACCGAAGAATCACAGTTTCAATTCTGGACTCTGGAAACAGACTCTCATGGCATGGCCGAGAGGCAGACACATCAGTAACGACTCTTGGGAAAGCAGGATGAGGCAGAAAGACACTTCCTCCCTCCCGCGTCCATTCAGCAATTCCAGCACACCGAGGCCTAGGTCACGGGTGAGTATCAAGGTCAAGGTGCCTGGTTGTTCTTACTAAGTGGGAAACTAATGCTGGTGCTGCACTGAATTCTGCAAGGGGCCAGTAACCCCTTCCCATCAGGAAGGGCACAAACAAACTGCAACCCCAGCCACATCCACCCAGTTATCCGTAAACCCAAGGATATGCTGCCGGTAAAACACAGCATCCTCCTGGCTACATCAGTAGCCTTCTAACTTAGCCCGAATTATTTATCCTAATTTAAAAACTGGGATTTGGGTCAAGCAGCCTTGAGCCAAAAGGGCCATATCCTCAGCATCTCCTCAAGCACCGGCCCGTACACGGTATTTGGAAACTCCTCTCCAGTTTCAGGAAGAGGAATGATCRGACTTATCTTCTCTGTCCCAGGTCCAAACCACAGTGCTGCTACCAGCTTTGCACTGGTGGATGGACTCACGCGGTTGTGCAAGTCAACGTGTGTCAAACAGTTTCTTTCTCCTCAGTTCTAAAAGCAGGAAAGTTTGCAGCATGCTATTTGCCCCAAGCTCTTTAACAATAAAAATTAACTAAAATCTCATCAAAGTAAAGTAAATATACAATTATTAAAATGGCTAGCAGCCTCACAGAGCACGTAAGAGCCTCATCGACAATCTGCCTAGATACACACAGTTTGGGCAAAGCCAAAAACTATGAAAATATGATTGATGACAGGGTAAATGATAAACAGACAYGTTGCTTTTGCAAGATCTGTTGCGCACGATCCGATCTTTTGAGGCTTTATATGGAACCGAACTGGAATGAGTTTCAACAGAAAGAAAGCAGGAAGCATATCCCAAACCTCAGCTGCCATCCACTCTTACTGTCCCGGGTCAGAGGAGGGATCCGGATGCGTTGCAGCAGGCTTTCAGGGGCAGCATGATGTGCAGGAAAAGGCACTAATGTGGATGGAGGGTAACTAGTAAGAGCCCAAACACATGTCCTGGGTGCAGCTGGGTTTTCTTGGGCACAACTCAGAGCCGAGGAGCACAAAGGGCCTCGCTGCCCCAGGGGGCTGGCGCTCCTGGGTCCAAAGCCTTAGCTCCGGCCTGAGCTCCAGCCAGGCTGGAGAAGCCTGGCACCTCTCTGAGACCTGCTCCAGGGGCKCAGCAGGCACCTCGGCCGGCGAAGAGGGGCCTTCACGAGCAGCGATGAGGAGGGGCCTTCATGAGCWGCGATGAAGCGCAGGCGGGACTGAAGCGAGCCTGCCTGCCGGCCTGCAGCGTCTGCGGGCACAACCACCAGCCTCCAGCGCCCAAGTGGGCCACGTGCAGCCCATGGGAAGCTCCGATACGCTGTGACAACCGTCATGGACCTCTAAGGATGCGGTTTTTACAGCCACTTTTCTGGAAGAACCATGTGTTGCTCTATTTTCAGCCTTCAAACATTTAACGGTAATCCTATTTTATGCATATTCATTTTGAGTCGTTTATAACCAGATTTGCAAAGGTATTGATTTCCATGGGAGCTAAGGGCTAAATAACTTTCATACAGAGCCACATCGTTCATCCTATTAAACCTCTATTGAAAATAACATTTATTGTCTGCATACAAATCATTATGAAGCAGGCAATATTCAAGGAAGAATTCAACGGTGAGAGAAAAGCCCAATTAACCAGGAATTCAGTATCAATGCAAAAGTTAGGAAGTTGCTTGGGGATGTATTTGCCTGAAAAGTCATTGAGGAAAGATGAAAAATGAAGTTTGTTCCATCTCTCCTTCCAAAGTGGTATTTTCACTTCAGATCTATGTGATTAATTTTTACAACGTGAAGTATTAAGGCTCCTACAGAGCAACAGAAAAGCAACAGGCAGCTGCTCTCGCTTATAGTTCTCGGCTGTTCGCAGAGAATTAAACTTTTTTCTGGCTCTGGTCTTATGGTAGTTAAGGTTGGGTCARCTGAAGAATGCACATTTCAAAGAAGACAATGTAGGAAAGCTTGAGGTTCCCAAGCTTGAGCTTCTTCCTTCCAATTTTACACGCTCATATGAAGGAAGAGAAAGAAATAAGTGCCAGTGGAAATGGACGCTGTATCATTAAAATAAGGATTTTTTTAAGTACTGAAAACTGTATGTTTTAAAACTGTAGACTCAGGGAATTTTATTAAAGAATAGTAAATTCTCCAGCTAGCAGTGTAACCCCCCAAGGCCATTATGTGCCTCGGGCGCACTGAAAGGGCTGGGGACGAGGAGGGGGGAACCCTGCGCCCCAAGCCGCGCTGCAGGGCGGCCGGTGCTGCACTCCGCAGAGCCGCCTCGTCCCACCGCACGCGTGCGAGCGGCGATGCCTTTCACACGGGCTGGCTGCACCAGCCTGTATGTTACACCAGACTGGTTACACCAGCCCCTGTTACACCAGACTGGTTACACCAGCCCCTGTTACACCAGACTGGTTACACCAGCCTAGGCTAGGCAAAACGCTCGGCTCCTCGCACGCGCGACGATGAATGAGCTGGGGGAACTGGAATTCCTGGAAACTCCTGGGCTCCCGCGGGCAACTGCTCCTAAATGCCTGTCAGTTACTCACAGCTCTCCGCTCCACAGTCGGGTTTCTGYTCTCACACTGCGTTCAGACACAGCACTCCCCTTTCGGGTGCATGGCGGGAGCTATTTGTTTCTCAATTTTCATCCCTACCTATTCCTGTTTCCTTAGAAAGCCACCCCTGGACCCAACAAGGGCCTTCCAGGGTGACCACAAGGGTGCCAGGGCCGTGGCTGGGCCAAGCGCACGGTGCCGACGCTGGATAACGTGAAGGGGCTTCGTCCTTGCCATGAAGGGCTGGCCCTGGAGCCCCCATCGAGGGGTGCCAGCCCCCGTGGTGACAATGGGCGGGTGCCCCTGCGTTTGAGACTTACTCAAACAGCATTTCATGCAGTGGTCAAGCCTCGGTGATCCTACCCGTGTGGTTTGCAGAAGGGACTAATGCAAGAACCATGCAGAGGCTGCATTGTTCAGGGGTACACGCAGCTACCCTCAAACCTGAGCATCAGCACAGGTTTGTTAAACAAGGCCCTTATTAGGCTGCTAAAGCAAAATGAAAGTCACATTACGTGGCACAAAAAGTATAAAGTATAAAGCAATTCAAAATGTGCTAGTTTAAATAAGATTAAGTACTTTTTTCAAAAGCAAAATTATATGTTTCAAGAGCAAAAGACTAATATTGGACACA